ACTGACTAAAATCACCCCCGTGACAACTGGTATCAGAGCCAGGTTAGTTCGTGGCAGTGGTAAAACGATCGGTGACAGAATTCGTGATCTTATTGGAGAACATGGCTGGTGGCACAAGTACTGAAATCCGCCAAAGAGGGGATCAGTGAGAAGCACTTATGGGGCAGGCTCTTGCGGAAGGTAACCGATTCTTCTATTCTTTCTAGAAACGAAGAGATGCAGGGGAAGGGTTCAACTTCGAATGGCATTATTGAAAATTGCCCTTAGAAGCGGTGAACGTCCTAGAGTATTGGTTCCGGAGCCAAGGTCCTATAGAGATGCGAGAAGTGCCTAAAAGCGGGAAAAATTGCCATTGTGGCAGATGTTGAAGAAGCTGGTGGGGCAGTGTTTGTCAACAACCCCTTGGAGCTTTTCATTAAGACGGCTCGACGAGGACGTCGATTTCAAAAGGTGCGGGTGGTTTGTTAGGGCCTGACTTTTTGTCATCGGGCGTGGCATGGCTGTGGCAAGGATTTGGGCGTGATGGCCTTGTCATTGGCCTATGTGCGGGCAAAACGATCATGCGGAAGACGGACAAGACATTGTCATTGAGGGCCGTTGTAGGCAAGTATGGGCCAAGACCTTGGGACAGGCAAGGTGCGCTTGGCAAAGGCTTGACAAAGCTGTGTGGGCAATGTTAGGGCGGCATGGCACGGCATGCGCGCCAAAGTCAGGGGCATGGCACTTTGGGTTGTGGCAGCTAAGTTCGGGCTAAGCTAAGACAAGACGGAAATGCGGGATGATGGAAAAGGCTTTCAATAGCTAAGGCAAAGCTATGTGAAGGAAAATACAAGCAATGGCACGAGGGAAATGAAGGTTGACATGAGCAAGGCAGATTTGGGCCAAGACAGTGTGCGGGCGGCAGCGGCGTCGGGCATGTGCGGCAAAATCACAGGCAGCGGATGCGGGCAAGGCATTGGCGCGGAAGCAATGTCAAGATGTGCCAAGGCTGGGCGCAATGCCAGCCTTGGGCACGAATCAGCTGGCCAAGTGAAGAATGGCACATGCAATGCACATGGAAAGTAGTTGGCGGTTACCTTGTCATAACCTCTTTGTCCCATGATCTGATCATGCTTGTATNGTGCGCGAAAATTGGCTAAGTATTTGGGAAAGGCTGAGTCAAGTGTACGACTTGATTGCCGCGCGGGTGTGAGTTTTGACTGACTAAAATCACCCCCGTGACAATAGGGAACTCTTCAAACAAGCCTCAAAGAAAAAATTAGAGAAACTTGTATTCCGTTGAAGCAATATTGTGCCGTTAATAGGCTTAACTGAATGTTGTTCGAAATAAAACACCTCAACAATATATGGGAACATACCGATTACGAGTTAGCAACTCTCCTATTGACGTTGTTCATTTCACCTTTATTATGATGCAAAAACAGAAAATTGGACCCTCTATAGTATAGGACCTCGTGTAGCTGCAAAATTGGAACGACAGGACACCTACAAACAACCAGTGCCAAGGAGTTGCTAAAAGAATTAAACAAACGAATCCATTCACATCAGAAAACGTTCGTAATAGCCTAGTGGAAGTTCATGATAAATCCATAGGGAGCACCTACAAAACGCCGAGGGTATAACAGCTCCTTAAATCTGGCTCGAGTCTCTTCCAAAAATGTACCGCCTTACCCAGTCAGAGACAACCAGTGCCCTTGTACGCCAACTAACTTGTTTACTGGAATTTCAAAAACATGGTAACCATCAGATTTCCATAGAAGGTTAAATCACGTTAATGGAGAAGCGACAAGACAAAAGCTTGAAAGAATTACCTAGCATACACAGAATACCAGAGCCACTGAGTGCTGTGACCAATTGAAACCCAATCTCCTGGAAGCTGTGCTGCTGTTTGCTCTCCTCCCAAGGGTGCAAACTGTCCCAAATGTCGATACCTGGAACAAACATTTGTACAGCGTTAAAATTCTTCAAGCCAAAATTACAACACATTCCAGATATTTTATTTCATTGCCGTTCATCCTCCTTAAACTTCCCTCCCATTAATGATTGTGTGCATACTCAAACCGAGCTTCCTACATTTCTGTTATGGTTTTAGAAGTTAATATACTGCATGAGACCGCTAGCAAAATCTCAGATATCCCACGAGACATCTCATCATGTGATAATCTAACAATTTCTGACCAAAGTTGTGCGCTTCACCCGTGTTGTGCTGAGGAAGACAATCTCATAGAGAGGTGATGCTAAGAAATGATCAGACAAGCCCGACTGGTACCTGAATGGGTGAAAGCGATGGCGACCTTCTCCTCTAAATCGAAGAGGACCTTCTGGATTTTTTTCACATTCCTCCATACGATTAAAGCATTTAGCTAAGTAGACACCTTGCTGAGATGCAACCTGAACAAGTCGTCGCACATGCAACAAAGATATTTAAGCACGCATGCATCCATCAGAAACACAAACAGAAGCTACAAGCACAGTCTTGTTTGCATAATACCTGAGCTGTTGCTGGGAGATTCTTCATCTCAGAATCCACTTGGGACAGAGCTGATTTAAATTCTTCAATATTCACCTCAACTGATTCTTTAACACCATCTCCTTTTGATTCTTTCAAGAGATCGGCCAGAGTACTCATTTTTTTACTTTTCAAGTAAAGCTCTACTTGCGGGTATCTTTCACATATGTCTTTAAGTACTTCCTGAAATTCTTTGATGGTTAGTGTTCCAGAGTTATCCTTGTCTGCTTTATGAAATATAGCAGCAATATCTTCCTGAACAATGAGAAAATTGGCAAAACAAAGATCAGTATTTGCAAAATTTAATATCTAATAATTCAAAATTCAAACCAGTTCTATTTTATCAGATGCTGACTGTTTCCGATGTTAATTAACCAAAAGGTCACTGGTTATATTTAAAACAACAAGTATCCTGAAAATTATTGCCCGCTTTGTACCCCTATTTGAGTTTTTTCTAAGCTTTGAAGTAAAGCGCAAATTACAATGTGTAGCCTGTAGATATTTCCTAAGCTCCAACAGTGTTGCCGTCATGGGTAAAAGAAAATGAAGTTGAAAGTTATTGTCTACTCAGAACTGGTTGAGAAAATAGATGGACAGGAAGATTGCACTCTAGTGGAATGCTAGATCGAATGACCACCCAATATAAGAAATGTGATCAGGAAGTGAAGGTGAATTACCATGACTTTCCGCTGGTTGATTGTTGCACAGTCACCAAGTGCATATACGTTATCCTGTCCCTCAACACGCAGCCACTCATCAGTTGCTAACACTCGTCTGTTACCCTGTTACCAAATAAAGGTTTCACATAAGCAACATAAATAACAATAAAATCAAACAAAAGCTTGACAGAAGCATTACATTAGCTCCCAATAAACAAGGAAAGATACCTGACCAATGTGCTTCATAAATTCCATAATTACTGGACGAGTTCCAATACCAGTTGACCAGACAGCCATTCCATAAGGCATTGAAGTTATATCTCCACGTTTGACATCCTTGGTAGAAATTTCTTTATCTCCTACCTTCACAACCATTGATCCTGTTTTTACATCAATACCATCTCTCTGGAATTTTTCTTCAGCAAAAGCGGTAATGCGCTTGTCAAACCTACAAATGAAAAGTACAAATTACCACATTAGAACACAAGTGAAAGTGGAAAATGAGCTCATAATGAAACTGCATGTTCCAAGTCAAAGAGGTGGCAGTAGAAATAGAAACATAAGAATTTGCTTCAAATTACCCATCACATAGGAGAATTAGACATTAGGATGACGGCTAGCTAATAATTAACCAACTATTTTTGCCAGTACTTTGCCTAAGGACCAATAGAAGCGCATCTACTGAAAGATCTGCATAAACTGATAGATTTTGGAATATAAGCCACTTTACTTCAACCTCTTTCTAAAGTTCCATTACCCACATAACTGCATAAGTATGGCATCACTGCTCAACTCTTTGAAGCATATCACCGAAGCAGCCTGATTTAATTGCCCTTCACCAAAAGAAAAGAAGAAGGTGGGAAAAAAGGAAGGATAGAAACAGATGATTTTCTGTTTTGCTCACAGAAAACAATGATCAACCAACCCACAACTGTTAAACCAGAGGAAGCAGCTAAAGTGTCCCTTTGCTTTGTGCCTCTTTTAACCACATTATGTCCTATGTCTGGGTATTACATCCTAGTGTTGAGGGAGGGAAACAGCCTTTGCGTTCAAACATCTTTTATTTACAACAAGCTCAATCAAGGGCCAGAAATTGGAACTTTAAGAGCAGAGTTTCCACTACTAGGCATCACTGGTAAACGAAGCGTGACAAATCACTCTTAACAAGTACTTACATTTGCATATCCAAAACTATGTTGCCTGAAAGAGGTATTATCTTCACCAAGACATTTCTTTACAGACTGGGCAACGTGTATATCTCACTTCCAAAATTTGGTCGATCAAGAAACAATTAATCAGTATATGAAATATACTTTAGATTTAATTACCAAAAAGACATATATTTTGAGATGACCGCTTAAAAGAGGTGCTGTCTTACATGTTCAGAATATGATCTGTTGCCTCAAGAAGTGTTATCTTCACCAAATCTTTGACTTTAGGATATAGTCTAACTATATCTTCATTGACAAAGTCGTGAAGCTGTGCCGCAAACTCCACACCAGTTGGTCCACCACCAACAATAACAAAGTGAAGCAGTCTCTTTCTCTCCTCATCACTGAGGGTCGGCAGACTTGCTTTTTCAAAACAGTCAATAACAGTTCTACGGATCTTTTGAGCATCTTCTACTTCCTGCACAAAGGCATTCCGATGGGAAATGTAAAGACCAACGCTTTGCATGTGCTACATATGACGCCAACCTAATCTTAAATAAGTTATCTAAAACTCATTTCGTGGCATCACAAACTTCAAATACTATTCCAAGGATTACCTTCAAGAAAAAGGTGTTCTCTTCAACACCAGGAATGTTAAATGTGTTTACACGGG